TCCTGGGGGGTGGGGGGTGGGTAAGGGTGATTTCTCACTTTCTGTCTCTCTCTGTCTCTTTGGCAAGTGGACGTACCCTATAGCAAAAATCTGACAAAAAACAAAAATCCCCAAACCAAAACAAAACAAAACTTAGCCTATGATTTGAGTACTTACTATATACCAGACCATGCAATTGTGCTTGTCGGGAAATCACACTCATCCAAGAACACCTTAAGGTGTATGTGCACACAGGTATATGCACACAAACAGAGCAAAATGCACACCCCTCCTCCCACACACTTTTATTCCTTACATGATATGAGAAGGAAAAAAACCATTAGTGTGAATCGTATTTCCATTCGTTTTGTATTTTCACAATAATTTGTCTGAATAGGGACCAGCAGCTAGTGTAATGGCTATCACTGGACTCCCATGTAGTCGACCGTGATTCGTGTCCTGGACCCGGTGGCTTGAACTCATGCCGGGCTGGTGTGCATGCGTGCCCAAGATTCCAAGAGGAGAATGGAGGAGAAGGGATTGTGGCATGGCCATCCACTCCTGGGGAGTGATTTCTTGCTTTCTGTTTCTCTGTCTCTCTCTGTCTTTCTGGTGAGTACACACGCCCTATAGCAAAAAAGAAACTTATCCAAAAAAAAAAATTAAAGCTAGATATTTATTCAGACAAGCTATTATTATTATTATTTTGGAGAGATTTTTGCTATAGGATGCATGCACTCGCCAGAAAGACAGAGAGAGACAGAGAAACAGAAAGCAAGAAATCACCCCCCCCCGCCCCCAGGGGGGATGGCCACGTTGCAATCCCTTCTCCTCCATTCTCCTCTTGGGATCTTGGGCACACACGCACATGTGCCTGGTGTGAGTTTAAGCCACTGGATCTGGGACTTGAACCGCGGTCAACTACATGGGAGTCCAGCGATATAGCCATTATGCCAACTGCCGGCCCTTCTAGCTTTAATTTTAATTCCATAGACAGAATAAGGAAAATAAAGAAATTATGCTCTAGTTGACAAGTATTTTATAAGAAGATGTGATTTTTTATTTACCTCAGATCACTAACGTTATTAACATTTTTATTAATGGTCAGGATACCAACGCTGATCCCAAAATGAAGGATTCTAGAGTATTTAAAATGAAGGGGTCAAAAGTTGATGGAGAAAAAGTTGAAAAAGGCAACCGAACTTCAAATACCAGCTGTCTCCATGACACCGGGGCAAGCCATGTCAAAACGGTGCCTTCCTCGAGCCTCAGGGACGGCAGCAATGTCAGTGTGGATCACGCGAGGAACCCAGGCACGGCAATTCCCCCTCTGACACACAACCTTTCCGCAGTTGCTCCTGGCATTAATTCCGGAATGAGCACCATCTCCGGAGTTCAGAGTTATAGGTATGCATTAGGAAAGTAAGACCAGGGGCCGGCGGGTGGCATAGTGGTTTAAGGGCGCTGGACTCCTGCATGGCCGACTGTGGTTTGAGTCCCAGACCAGGTGGCTTGCTTTCTAACTTTTTTTTTTTCTCTCTCTCTCTCTTACTTTATCCCTTTCTGGTCAAATTTAAATAAATAAATAAATAAAGTTAAATAAAATAGTTCTTTTTTTTTTACAAAAAAAAGAGAGAAAGATGCAAAAACTTGTTTAAAGATATATCTATATATAAACTATAAGCATTTGTCGGTTCACATTAGCCTACCATCAGAATTTTGGATGCTATTCATTCTTGTCAGGTAGCTGTTTCAAAAGACTGTTTTGAGGGGCCAGCAGGTGGTATGGATCCCAAACGGCAACAGCTCAGTTAAAGTCCCAGACCCGGTAGTTTGAAAACTGTGCTAGGCATGTGTGTGTGTGTGTGCACCCAAAATCCTGAGAAGAGGATGGAGAAGGGATTGCGGGAGAAGGGATTGCAGCAGGGCTATCCCCCTTGATTTCTCAGTCTCCTCCCCCCGGCTCCGCCCCCTCTCTCTCTGGAGAGTACACACTTCCTTTAACAAAAAGAAAAGACTTTTTGATGAAAATTATTGCCATTTTATAGAAAAGTAATAATAATAATAATAATAATAATAAATTTATGTGAGTCCTTAAGAAAGCAGTTAAGGGACCAGCAGTTAGTGTAATGGCTATGTTGCTGGACTCCCACGTAGTCAACCACGGTTTGAGTCCTGGACCCGTTGGCTTAAACTCATGCCAGGTACGTGTGCGTGCGTGCCCAAGATCCCGAAAGGAGAATAGAGGAGAAGGGATTGCCATGTGGCCATCCCCCCTGGGGGATGGTTTCTTGCTTTCTGTCTCTCTGTCTCTCTGTCTCTCTCTTGTCTTTCTGGAGAGCGCATGTGCCCTATAGCAAAAACCTCTTCAAAAAAAAAAAAAAAGAAAGAAAAAGAAAGAAAGCTGTTAAGGTGACGTAAGAATGTGGAAGAGGTTGTCATAAGAGAGAATTAGTTTTGAAGGCCTGCTGCTGTCCGATGTGGCTGTGAGCATTCGTGGTACAAGGAAGCTCCTGTGGGAATGTCACTGCAAGGGAGTGAGTGTATGTGGTGGGAGCTGGGGGCGGGGTAGGAGGTGCGAGGGCGGTGGGCACAGCTAGACTGTCTCACCGGATTTGTGTGCGTGGTCTGAGAGTAGGCATCGAGTTCTGATTAAACTGCATACCACTTGGTGCTACACCGTTTGGTTTTGTGCTTGACAAACATAATTGCTACTGGTTCTAACTTTAAAAATGTCTTTTTGGTTACAGAGTGGATGAGAAAACTAAGAAGTATTGCATTCCATTCGTGAAACCAAATAAACAGTCTCCATCAGGCATCTACACCATGAACGTGACCACATCGGTAAGCACGCTGCTCAGTGAGAGCGCAGCAAGCGCCAGTCCGCTCCAGGGTTCAGTGATATTAAACACGTCGGTGAAGAACTGAGAACTTTATCTGCAGACATAGGAAATAAAATCTCTTTTAGAAGAATTAATTTTATTTAACTTCATTTATTTTATTATTACTATTTTAATTTGACCAGAGAAAGAGAGAGAGAGAAAGGTGAGAAAGCAAACTACCAGATCTGGAACTTGAGCAGCAGTCAGCCATGTAGGAGTCCAGCGCCTTTAACCACCACGCCACCTGCTGGCCCCTAGAAAATGATATGCATTATAGCATCCTAGCCTGTTATAGTCATAAAAATGAAAGTCTAAAAATTCAAAGAAGTTTCATAAGTCTGAAAGTTTAAATATGTCATTACAGTGTCATCTGTTTTAATTTTTTGAGTGACATAGTGAATTTTTTTAAAGAATTACTTAATTTTATTTATTACTATTATTATTATTATTTTTAATTTGACCGAGAGAGAGGCACAGAGAGAGAGAAAGAAAGGGAAAGCGAGAAATCAGGCCACCAGGTCTGGAATTCGAACTGTGGTCGGTCATGTGGGAATCCAGTGCCTTTAACCACCATGCCACCAGCTGGCCCCCATAGTAAATTTTCTTAAGCTGATGCTTGTCTATTAGTTCTTTTTTAGTGTGAATAAGATAAATTCACCCATACCAGATGTTGGTGAAAGTATTCTATTTATTGATTTAGCGAATATTTATCGATCACTTATTAAGCAGGAACTTTCAAAAGTATGTGGAAAATGGAATTTAAGAACAAGTTTATTTTGGTGTTAAACTTTTTAAAAAAATCAATTCATAGTTTTCTCATAAACGTATTTTCAATAAACTTTTTTTTAAGACTTACTTTATTTAACTTTATTTATTTATTTATTTTAATTTGACCAGAGAGATAGAGTGAGAGAGAGAGAGAGTGAGAGAGAAAGCAAGCGGCCAGGTCCAGGACTGGAAGTCACAGTTGCCCATGTGAGAGTTCAGTGCCCGTAACCACCATGCCACCGGCTGGCCCTGACATATTTTCAAAAAAACTTTTGAAGACCTGTCATATGTGTAAGACAAGGGAGATAAACAAAAGTGATTTTTTTTTTTTTTTTTTTTTTTTTTTTTAAAGAAGCTCATCGTCTAGTAGTTTAATTATCTAGTAGTTAATAATCTGGTAGTTTAGTAGTTTAATCCCACATATTCCACATATTTTAGAATATGAACATAGTAACAAAAGAGGGAAAGCCTAGAATATCTCGAAATAATTTGTCTGTGTTAACCATTCTGATGTTATTAGGTCTCTAGTGAAAAGAGCTTCCTTCAAGCAAATAAGAAAAGAAGGGAATACTGCAGGACAGACGTCCGTCTGCCTGAACTAAGAGCCTTGGAAGGCATAGGTAGGTTGATGGTGTTTTAATTTTTTTAGCCCATTTGTTTATATTAAATGTATGCTAAATAAACTTGATAGCATATTACAATTAAAATGTATAAAATAGTAACTTTACCTGGTATGGAGATTTGTGTGTATTTAATAAATACCTACCAAGAGACAGGTTTAGAATGGGAAAACAAACAAAATGTCTAATTTTTTTTTTCACTGTGTTTATGGTTATTTTTATCCAGCTCGAAATTCTAGGCTAATAAGGAAAGAGAACAAAATTCTTTCAGAATCTCGAATTCCTTCTCTGGCTGCTATCGACCTGCATGCCCCCAGTATTGCATTACATCAGGTACAGACATAATTCTTTATAGGTCGGATGGAACTCAGGTCTCCCTCCTACTTAATATTAAAATATTTTAGGGGCCGGCAGGGGGCATGGTGGTTAGGGGCTCTGGACTTCCACGTGGCCAACCGTGGTTCAACTCCCGAACCTGGTGGCTTGCTTTCTCACTCCCCCACCCCCTTGTTCTGTCCCTTAAAAATAGATATATAAAGTTCAGTATAATAATTCTTTTTAAAAAAAATTTAGAAAGTGTGTCCTCTTAAGAACTGAGCAGTTTGGGGCCAGCAGTTGGCATGGAGGTTAAGGCTGCTGGATCCCACATGGCTGACTGCAGAGTTTGAGACTTGGGCCTGGAAGCTGGAAAATCATGCCAAGTGTGTATATGTGCATGCCCAGAATTCCAGGGGAAGAATGGAGGAGAAATCGTGGCATGGCCATCACCTCTATGGGGGGTGATTTCTCACTTTCTTACTCTCTCTCTGATGAGCACATATACCCTATAACAAACTAAAGTATACCCCCCAAAACAAAAAGAATTGAATAATTTGTTGGTGGGATATATAAAATTTTGCTTGCTATTTTTTTTTCTTTTTTTTTTTATGGTTTGTTATGGTTTCATTGTACTCTCAAAATTTGTCATAAGGTTGGGTGAGCCATTGTAAGGTATTAAGAGGTTGGAAACATATTTAGTTTCTTTAATAGATACAGTGATATTCAGATTTTCTGATTTTTCTTATGTCTTTTGGTAGGTTGTATATTTAAGACTTTTGCCCATGATATCCAAGCTTTTAGATTTGTTAGTATCCTTATATTTATTTTTATTTAATCGTGTTGTTTCTTTCTCTCTCTCTCTCTCTCTCTCTCTCTCTCTCTCTCCTTTCTTGATCAGTCCAGCTAGGAGTTTTGTCAATTTTGTTATGTTTTTCAACAAAGCTGAGCTTTGGATATTGTTTGTTTGTTTATTTGTTTAGATAGATTTTTTTGCTGTAGTGCGCGTGTGCTGGCCAGAGAGACAGAAAGTGAGAAATCACCCCCCAAGAGGGGATGGCCAGACCACAGTCCGTTCTCTTCCATTCTCCTCTTGGGATTTTGGACGCGCATATACACATGCCTGGCATGAATTTCAAGCCACTGGGTCCAGGATTTGAACTGCAGTCGACCACGTGGGAATCTAGTGATGTAACCATCACACCATCTATTGGTCCCCAAGCTTTGGGGATTCTTCATTTCCTCTATTGTCTGTCAGTTTTCTGTTTTCTATTTGTTTGATTCCTCCTCTTATCCTTCTTTGTTTTCCCATTTTATTACTTTGAGTGTATTCTGCTCTATTTTTCCAGCTTGTTGAGACTCTGTCCCTTGATCACTGATTTTAGATATTTAAATTTTTTTTTAATTTAGATTTTTGCTATAGGGCACGTGTGCTTGCTAGAGAGAAACAGAGGGCAAGTGAGACATCAAGATGCCATGCCGCAGTCCCTTCTCCTCCATTCTCTCGGAATTTTGGACACACATGCAGGCTCCTCAGCATGACTTTCAAGCTGCCAAGTCCAGACTGGAACCTTGGCTGAGCATGTGGGAGTCCAGTGCCTTAACCACCATGCCACCAGTGCATGCCCCTGTTTTTTTTTTTTGTAATGTAAGTATGTAAAGGTGCATATTTTCTCATAAGCACTGTTTTAGCTTCATCCCACAGATTGTGTTATTTTTGTATTTCCGTTATCAACTCATTTTCTTATTTATTTTGTGATTTCTTCATTGACCCATAAATCATTTAGAAATTTGTTTTTTAATAGCCAGATATCTGAAGTTTTTCTTGTTATCTTATATTTGATTGATTCGTAATTTAATTTCATTGTGATCGGAGAATATACTCTGAGTGACTTTGACTCATTTAGATTCATTAAGGCATGTTTTATGACCTAACATATTATTTTGGTGAATTATCTTGCTCCCTTGAAAAAAATGTATATTTTTCCTGTGTTGGGAGAATTATTCTATAAATGTGCACTTAGCTCCAGGAGGTTGATAATGCTGTTCAGATCTTCTATGCTTTTAATGATAATGAAATTAAGGTCTATTAGTTCTTTTTTTTCTTTCTTTTTTCTTGGAGAGGTTTTTGCTATAGGGCGCATGCGCTCGCCAGACAGACACAGAGAGACAGAGAGACAGAAAGCGAGAAATCATCCCCCATGGGGGATGGTCACGCCTCAATCCCTTCTCCTCTCGGAATCTTGGGCACGCATGCACATGCGCCTGGTGTGAGTTTAAGCCGCCTGGTCCAGGACTCGAACTGCGGTCGACTACGTGGGAGTCCAGCGACATAGCCATTATGCTAACTGCTGGTCTCAAGGTCTATCAGTTCTTTTTTTTTTTTTTT